GGACATTTCTCAAAAAATTTATCATCATAACAATCATATTCAATATCATATTCAAAAACTCAACCTTAAATAATGCGATTTCCGAGAATAATGTAACTTTCAAAAGCACATAACTCCGAAAGTACCTAACGAAAATATAATGTATTATAGTGTTTTGGAAAGCTCTTGAGGTAAGCTATAAGAATATGCATTTAAAAAAAGGGGTTCCATTTAAAAATTTCAAGGTCATCTTTACGTGACCTTGAGGTAGCTGTTCAAGGTCATATTTATATTACTATGTAATGCATTACTTGAAACCGTACAACTTTCATGTTTAACATTTTTTTCCATCTTACATATTTAAAAAGTTATTTAGAGTAAACTTATATGGATACATACATACATACATACACACATACATACATACATAACGACATTTTTTCTAAATGTGATTTTTGAACGTTTTAGAACATTCTAAACATATTTTCAAAGAAAACTGGAAAAAAATTTTTTCACGAAAACAAAGCTTCCTCTATGAGGAAGCAAAAGGAAAAGGTATTCCAGGCACGTTCCGTTCTTATCGTTCATTGCATTCGTCTATGATGATTTGTGCGCTGCCTTACGAATTAATTGACGTGGATTGACTCATCGTTACTTAACTCTTGGTACCCCACTACTGCATCAAACGTGACTACAACAAGAAAACTATAAACGTTCTTCGTAAGTGTTCCGAGAGAGATCTGGTTAGCCTTCTGACGATACGGTAAAGTTGTAGCAAGGTCGATCCGAAATTGTATTCCAAATAGTGAATACGTGGAATCAGTCGACGTAATACTAAATTTCACTACCATACATTACGATAAATATTTTAAAATATTGTGAAAAAGTGTTAAAACAACGTGTACTAGAACAAAATAAGTACAAACCTAACCTAACAAATAAGTAAAATATTAAAAACAAGATGTAAAGTATAACTCGAAACGCTTGAAATATATTAAAACTATTAATAAGAAATTGCAAAGTAATATTTTAAAAAACAAAAGATAAATGATAATTCTCTTATTTTTATGACAGTAAAAGGATGTAAATGAACATAACAAATAAAAACAGATAATTATACGTGTAATTAAATGACAACCGTTCTCGGCAAAATTGGTTTTCCTATTATGGAATAATCACAGTGCAAGATGTATATGTGCTCCCAGCCTGCGAAAAATAAATTCATAGACAGGTGTTTATGATCTATTCAGAATAGGGTTATTGTTAAAGGTAATCGACTCAAGAAATTAGTAAACGTGTTATAAAACATTTCTCTGAAACATGTGTTTCAAAGATTTTTTTTTCAGATTTGCTGTTTAATCGCGTGTACATACTTTACAATGCATATTTGCGATTAGTTCCATATGCAATATCTCGCGTTGTTATAATATTCCAACCTCTGTACATTAATATGAAATATCCTCTGTTTCGTTTGAATCTCAATATGGATCTCATTGTCAGTAATAATATCCCCCAAGTGATTAAGTCTGAAAAGATTATTTCCAGTTAAAGTTGCATGTTTGCAGAGATTCTTAAATTTGCATTGTTTTTAAAAGTTCTATTAAAAGATTGGATTTCATTAAGCTGATTAACACTGAGTGCAGAATGTTCAAAAATATTGTAATTGTCGCTAATGTTTATTCCAACGGGAAAGTGAATAATGTTACAAAAGCGAAATTATTTTATCTAATCTACTTGTGACGTATTAAACAGGTCACAGTTCATAGTTAAAGCATTTCGTCCTCCTTTGAAGAGTTTTCAGCAAATAATAAATACTATATTCAATAATAAGCGCATTTAGTATTATAAGTTTTTAATTCAATTTTATCCACTTTATCGAGAAAATATCTTTGAACTAAATATATTTATCGTTAATGCAAACTGTTTATACAATTCTCAACTCTGTTATCAAATTTATGTTGTTGACTAAGAAAATAGATGTGCACATCTAAATCCGAGGTACTGGGACTAGCCTGTCCGTTTCAACAGCGTATAAGATTTAATAAATTACTTATTGTTATGGCGCGTCAAAAATTGCGAACGCATCAGAATGTAGAAAACTTCGTATAACATTTTATGTAAAAAAATATCAGCTTTAACAAGAGATCATCATCCTCTCCATCATATGCATCTGTCATAATTCCGCAAAGCACATTATAATATTACAGTATATATCGAGATTCTAGTCTCTAATCTATTGTAATTTATTATACCAAAAATAATACTTGAGCATATTTAAATACTAATTAGGAATCTATCATATTACCGCATTGTCACGGCAGATTAAAGAGTGTTAACAAATTTTTTGTTTACAAACATATTAATTCTTGTTTAATTTTTAAAAAATGATTAATAAGTCTTTTCTTGATGTAAAAAGTCGACAAAGCTAATGTTGATACAACTTTGATTATGGCAATTATTTTGAAATCATGTGAGATAGTAGAAAAAATCGTAACTAATTAACAAGTTTTTAAAATAAAGTTTGATAGACAATATGAATTTTTTTGTTATTTATAGAACTTGTCAAGATGGCTAAGATTTGTATCTTATTTGCGTTTCTGTCGTACCTATTATCGTCGTACCATGGTACATGGAGCAACTTTGTGTTCGGAATACTTCACACATGCATTCGACCCTGAGACAGGCAAGATATATGGTCGGATCGAAATCGTTTCTCCGCCAGAAAATGACGAATTTTATTTAAAAGTAGCCTTAAACGCTACCGCTGAATCGTTGGTAAGTATATGTTTTAAACTATATACATAAGAAAATGTTTACACAAAATAATTTCTGTTCTGCATATTTTGAAATATGTCAAATAATCTTTTAATATATCTAGATATTATTAAAGCTAAGTGAAAAATATAGTTTACTGGTGGTTTGACACAGATAATCGAGGATTAATGTACAATTTGTAATTTTTGTCTGGTTTGTCATTTCTTAATTTTATTTCCTAATAAATAGAAATAAATAGCTTACCTGTCGAAGGATTTACGTGTTACCACATCGCGGATGTTAGTTAAGGAGGCGAAATATTCAACTATATATTTTATTATTAAAGATTGTAAAACGTTAATTTCTTTTCGCATATAATTTTAACTCGAAAGTAATTTTACGCCTTGTAGTTGCATTGTACTCTCAAAGCTTACCTTTAACTGGTTAATTTCATTCTTAAGAGAATTTATCGTGTCTGTGTATTCATTAGAAATAGCTTAATTATATTTGCGTTCTAGAATGGGGTATTTAGAATAGAATTGGCACGACCGATAAAAGACACCATTCAAGTTATTCGACAAGGCAGATCTTTGGTGTATCATATTAATTTTCCCTCGGACCCAAAATTGCCAACATTATCCGCGATATGGTTTAATAATCGACAATATTGTGTCGGCCCCGCAGGTGAGTACCGTATTTGATAAAAATGAAGTACAAATATAACATAACTATAATCGACGAAAAAGAAGCGAGTAATACAGTCGTTAATTCTTTCTTGCATCTGCCTGCTGTCGTAAGAGATAAATAGTAAAACTCTCATTACAATGGTCACTATTTCGTTTTTATCGTGCATATCACTTTCCATCTTTAGGTACGAAGAATTTTACCATTATTTATTTTGGTTGGAAATTATTTATATTCTCAAAAGGAAATGAAACTCTTTTCGTATTCTGAGGTTAATGTGCGATTTAAGAGATATGTTCCATTACATTATCAGGGGCTAGTGGAAGTATCATAGCCAATATTGAGGTGGGGCATACTGTGTACCTTCCGAACGAAGAACCACTGCCTCAGGATTTTCAGCCGTGGCATCGAAATTCGAGTGGCTACCGCATAGACAATCCGTACTACAATAACAACGCCGAATGCGGTGTTACCGGTTACTACACCGATAGAACAAATAAACTGATCCCCGATGGTGAGACCTCATTACCAGGCCAGTGGCCGTGGGTAGTCGCAATCTTCGTTATTGAAAGAGGATGGTATCGAAGAACACAGAAGTTTCGATGTGGTGGTTCACTTTTAACAAACAGACATATATTAACAGGTATGTTAATCGACAAACGTCATTATTTTCATAGTCCATGTATTAAACTAACTGTATGTGAGTTAGTTTCCAGTCCTACGTACAATTTCCGGATTGTTTTTAGTAAAATAATAATTTTTATCCATTAATATTTAGAAGTAGCGAGCGTGGCGCAGAGAAGTATGCGCTGCTTAGTAAACGATGGCACAGTATTTCCAAAACATTCGTATATCAAATATTTACATATACATATTTTCGCACTGTCATCTTTAACAGCTCTTCTTCATTATTTCAGACCTTTTTTATTATTTGTATTTACACATAACGAGCATGTACTTTCTGTTTTAAGCATAATATTTCCTCGAGATTATCTCCAGTACGTTAAGAACTTGTTGTGGTGTATATAAAAAGAATTATTTGGGCGCTGTATCAATATAAATGTTTTTATGCATACACAGGTATTTTATGTCATACTAAATTAAGCGATTTAATTAAATTCCAGAGTATCACATTTGAAGTATGCAATATTGGTAGGGCGTACAGGATGCCTCCGGATAGAAAGTTTGGATCGTTAATAAATATAAGTCATACGTATGTCCTTTTTACAGCGGGGTACTGTATGAAACTGCACGTAACTACCAGTAACGAAACAGTACCCATCGACATGTTGGAAGTGGTTCTGGGGCGATTTAACTTGAACCCATTGCGCGGAGAGAAATCTGCCAATCGGAAAGTTGCGAGCTACGTGATTCACCCCGATTTTGTTCACTATCTCAAAGCTGATTCCGATCTCGCGGTTGTGACCCTCAAGAACGTCGTCGAGTTCACTCCTCTCATCAGGCCTATTTGCCTATGGTCCGGTTCAAGTAAACTTGAAGACGTCGTTAGTAGGACGGGATATGTTGTAGGATGGGCTAACGTTATCTCTAATCGTCGTGATCTTGACGATCAGCGGATGGTGAGGGCGACGATAGTGAGTCAAGTAAGTAGGTAATTGCTATTATAAAATTACTATTCATTACATATATCTGTGACAAATGTATTTGTCAAATTGATTACAAGCCTCAAGTTGAAGTTTGTTCCACAAATTGCAGGAGACCTGTCTCTGGACGGATTCTAGATTCATTTTCATGATATCGGATAACACCTTTTGCGCTGGTTCGCAAAATGGACTGGGTCCTTGTCGCGGTGACGCTGGAAACGGGCTGATACTTGTAAACAATATTACAAACAGTTATGAGTTGCGTGGCGTTTTTTCGCGATCTCTAATGAATGACACTTCGTTCTGCGGTTTACTGAAATACTTCGTTTATGTTGATGTGGCCAAATACATACCCTGGATTCAACAACAGATTTCGATATAACGTTCGCATTGCGTTGCAAAATGCTGTATATGTTAATCTATAAGTTTCTTTGTGTAAAGTTCAATGAAAACGCAGTACTTATGTACAGTTACGCGTGAGAATTAAACAGGTATGAATTCTGTTTTTGGTTATTGATGTCTCTTGTAATGTGTCTCCAATCTGTGTACAAAACGATATGAATAAGCTGTTACACATATAACTAACTGTCATATTAGACTTCTTTATAATGAAGAATATTAATCGTAATACATTTTACAATATGTTTATCGATACTAGAGCTCCCTAGTATCGGACGTTTGCCCGTCCGTAGAAATTCCGCGTGCGTGAAAAATAACGGAGGGAGGGAGGGTGGGCGTTATCGCCCCCCGCTATCACGAGGCTGAATACTACCGTCCGAACCTAAAAAGCAGTATCTTTTTTTTTACCATTATAGTTAACTCACTTTCTATGTTTCTTAGAGAAATATCCGTTGTCCTGCAAGGCTAGAAAGCAGTAAGAGCACTAGATTAACATAAAATAACTTATACACGTTGCTGCACCGTTATTAACGGATATTTCTCTAAGAAACATAGAAAGTGAGGTTAACTATTATTATTATTGTGTCCCACACAGCACAGAAGATTGCAGGAGGATTACAGAAATGTTACATTGCAAGATTGCAATATTGCAGCAACGTTGCGCAACATTGCTGCAACGTTTCTGGAGGATTGCAGCAACGTTGAAATGTCCGCCCTCAGAGAGATTGCAGTGCAACATTATAGCAATGTTGCAGTGCAATATTTTTGGAATAATTTGTTGTTGTTGTACATAAGCAGAGAATTTACTAATTACATATACATCCGGGCCTTTTTCAAGGCATAAACTTTCGATAGCAATATTGCGGCAATGTTTCAAAAATAATAAAAATACTATATTTTCTATTTCAAAAATTTTTCTAATTACGAGAATTTTATAATGTTATTTTCGTTGATACCAATAATGCGCGAATTATTAAGTACTTGATCAGTGCGGTGTTGCTCGCAATCTCCATCTATTGCGAAGCGACATAATCTCCTTAGGTTGCTTCGCAAGCTATTGAGCTTGCTGTGTATTGAAAAAGGCCCGGATGCATATGTAATTAGTAAATTCTCTGCTTATGTACAACAACAAATTATTCCAAAAATATTGCACTGCAACATTGCTATAATGTTACACTGCAATCTCTCTGAGGGCGGACATTTCAACGCGTTGCTGCAATCCTCCAGAAACGTTGCAGCAATGTTGCGCAACGTTGCTGCAATATTGCAATCTTGCAATGTAACATTTCTACAATCTTCCTGCAATCTTTCTGTGGCTTTGTTTACACCGTAAAATTATTTGATACGTGAACCAAAATGATGCGTACCAAATGTTAAATCCGACTGCGTTTACACCATGTGTATTAAGTGTGCAAAAAAGTACATTAAGGTTAGGTTTGATACAGAAACGTATTATATTTAATTTGGTTGGAAAATCGGTGATCCTTAGATTGCGATGGATTCGGAAAATATTATCAGTTGTTTATTTACAAGCTTAGTCGGACTTTTAAAAATAAGTCAAAATTTTCGAAGAAAACCTCATCTCACCTAACCGTAACGTTCCTTCGATAATTATTATTTAATGCGCTACAGTTTACACCGACACAAAATTACTTGATACGCATACTAAATTGGTACGATACTCCTTTTGCAAGCGTATCGTACCAGTTCAGTATGCTATCGTTTACACCGCTGGACTAAATCAATTTAGTACGAATATAGTACCTCATACGCGTATCAAACGATCGGTGTAAACAAGGCCTGTGCTGTGTGGGATACAACATCCGTCTCATTGACTCCACCAAAATAATGGCGGATACGCAGAAAAACGACGCAAAGCAAAACAAATGACCAGTGTTTGCTGTTATCTAAATAAAATTATATAGATGATTATCTAGATAAAATTTTAACGTTATCTTATCTTTAGATAGATAATAAAAATAAGTATTATCTATATCTGCATCTTAGCTGAAAGAAAGTGTTATTTTTACTGAATTATCTAAGATAAGGTACAGATAATTTGGTTTAGGGCCACATAAAAATACTTAACAGTTACACTATTTAAATATGGATGTCGTAGACCATGTATTTATGTGTGTGTCATATAACTTAACCTGAATATATTCTATATCCCCCTTTAAATTTAAATTTTTCTATAATTTTTTTATAACTTTTTCTACTGTGTTTACATGAAGTCTTAAAAATATTATCTGAAAATTATCTAGATGAATCATCATATAATTTTATCTTTTATCTAGATATATTCAAAACGAAATCATCTTTATCTTATCTAAGATAAATTTATATATTTTAATCTTATCTTTATCTAGCTAATTTTAAAATCATCTATGCACAACACTGCAAATGACAGAGTGTGCATACTAGGACTGCGTTCGGGGAGATGCTATTTAGCGCTATGAGCGTGCTTTGTCCTTGTTACTTGCAAAATTTGAACAAGGACAGAGTACACTCATAGCGCTAAATAGCGTCTCCCCGAACGCAGCCAAGTTATACCATGGCAGAATACGTTCCAGGCGAATTATGTATCGCTGGGATCAAAGACAGGCGACGGTTTAAAAAAAGATGATTTATCGGATAGCGACCTCGCTTCCGGCTGTTACGGTACGATGCGTCAAACGAAGTGCTGCGGGCAAATTGCGCACGAATCTTCCTCTCTTCTTCCGTCTCTATCTTCCGCGACGAGGGAGATTTTACAAAAGGAGATCGACCTCGGAATATAAAGCCTCGCGCGCGCCGGATCGAGAAAAGAGTCGTATCTTGGTGCGCGAGCACGAGGTTGGTGAATAAACACGGTCGATTCGATCTGCCAGCGGTGAACTTTGTAATTCACTCGGCTCGGTCAGCGGTCGAACTTGAAACGCTGTAAAATGCGAAAGCATGGATCGCAGAACGGTAAAAGCGAGAAGAGCTGAAGCAGGACGAGTGTATCGGGAGGGACGATCGTCTTTACAGTATTAAATCCAATGTAAGAATATTTGTAGGCGGGCAATGTGGCGCAGAAGTGGGTATACATTTTAAATTTACAAATACTGCTGTGCACGCATAGCAAGAACTCGTCGTTCTTGTTACATAACATTCATACGGTATGACGGCAAACTCGCGTTCATATTTCACGTAGTATTATACAAATAGTCCGCGTTTTATATGACGGATCGGTGTAATAGCAGGGGTTCCGCAAAAAGTAGCAGTTACAGAATCACGTTACACGGAAAAACTACGCCGTCCTCTCGCGCACACGTGGAGGAAACGAGCGAATTCCTCCCTTCTCGCTTCGGTCGAATTAATCGTTTCGCCGGAAAGAATTCATTTCCCTGTAGGCGTCTAATTACTTGGTTTTTGTCGATCGTTCTACGTGCATCATCCGATTTGTCTATCGCCATCCCGAGGTGGGAGGAAGAGGGCGACGTGTCTCCTGATGGAGAATCAGTTGACGTTATAGCTTGCTATGGTTAAGCGAATGCAACATTGTAGAGGAAAGAAATAGCCTAAACTTACAGAGAAGTATTTCCAATCGAGAGTGATTGCTAGAAAATTACTATTTCTAGTTAGACGTATCTCTCAACCAGAAAATTGTGAGACCGAGTAATGTTTATGTGAATTACTGCACGCTGTTGCCCGGCCAATCTTCATCACTGTCGAGCGTGGCTTGGTAGTGTGTTTAGATATGCCGTCGACGGAGTTTTTCTGACGTGGTCTCGAAATAATGGTCGCCACATGGCTCCGGCATGGTGCGACGCTTGTTTTAGATAAAATTTCTTTTTTCGCACCTACTAGGAGCTTCTGGCCAAGTCCGAAACAGATAAATCGTTCGTATCCAGGAAACTCTGGAACGGCGTAACGGACCTTATCGAGTCGCATTTAGAATCGTGTAGTATCTTGATTAAATGCTGGGTTCAGGAGTCGAGAAGACAGTTTTGTCTTACGAACCGTAACAAAGGCAGAATGCGCTAGTGAATAAGAGCAGAGGATAGCTGTGCGGAGTCTGTAGCGCCGCTATTGAGTACTTAAGTGACAGGAATCCGACTCGAGCCAGCGCCGGGGTCAGACCCGACGTCGGCGCCGGCGTCGACGTCAGCCTCGCCGTCAGTCCCGACGTAGACGACGTAGACGTTAGGCGGGTAGCATGCTAATGAACTCGCCTACCAGCGCGGAACTTATATAGTTTGCTAGGGGCACTTTAATCAAAGAGCAACCGGCAATTACAATCATTCTTGGCATCTCTCGCTCGTTCTCCTTATCGCGATTCGTCTTGGGTCTGGCGTGAAAAAAAGATTACGGTCGAAAGAAAATTATAGGTGTTCCACGTCGCGCGAATTCTGCGAGGATATTGGATGACGGGTTACAGAATATTTTACTGGGCAGGTTAAAAGCGTATAGCGTGAAAATAAAATTACGATGTATGTATGTGTATGTACACTGTAAATTTATATAATTTCTCTTTTTATAAAATCACAAAATACCGACTGATCTTTTTCGCAAAGTCGTGCCTCAATTTTACACAATTTTCGATTTTTCTGCTTAAGGGGATGCTGGAGTGATTCTGCCCTTTTGCACCTTTTGCACTTAAAACTGTCTGTTTCGTGGAAACATTTGTGTAATATACAAATTATAAATGGCTCACGTGTACAGATCGAAAGCAGCTTGCTATTCCGGCTAAATTAAAGAACAACATGGCATCACTGAAACTAAATTCGTAGGTCTAATAAAAATTAATAGTGAGCAACACACATACCACATGTACTGTATGTGTGTGTTGCTCACTATTATTTCTTATTAGACTTACAAACTTAGTTTCAGTGATGCCATATTGTTCTTTCATTTAGCCGGAATAGCAAGCTGCTTTCGATCTTTACACGTAAGTCATTTAATTTGTATATTACACAAGTGTTTCCGCGAACTGATAGTTTCTAGGTTAGAAAGGTGCAAAAGTGCAGAATCACTCTAGCATCCCCTTAAACGCTCATTCAGGACCAGACGAGGGGAAAACCGCTGAGGGCATTAGTTTGGGCATTAGGCTTTGCTGGGGCAGTATAAAGATAAAATAAGATAAAACAAGATAAAACAAGATAAATAAGATAATAAGATAAAATAATGCCCACTGGGCATTAGTGGGCATTGGTGTACAAGATTTTGGTCAGCGGTTTCCCCCTCGGGACCGGAGTTGCAAGGTCGAGATACGAAAGAGATCAGTCACTGTGCGTTTAAATTAATTTTTACCGTAGCATTTATCGGCAGGTATAATAACGCGATTAAAATTGAAACGATTCGAGCCAGTTGCGACGACTCGCGATTGCGTCTTTGCGTCGGCAGTATCGATTATGAACGACAAAGAGGAAGATGGAACGCCAGGGGGTGACGGGGAGAAAGATGGAACGAGCGAGGCGTAGAGATAAACGCGAGGTTGGGTGAAACTTGCGTGACAATTTGAATATATCAAACTAATCGCCGTACAGCAATAGAAGAGGGAGCGCGCAACGTGTATGTACGTACGTACGCGCGGGTATTTATACGCGTCGCAGTTTGATTGTGTTCGATTCTCAATAGTCGGACGGAGTTGGCGAATACGTGAGCGAAATTTCGAGCCGTAACGACCCGAAACTTTCTCGAGATTGACGCGCTTTTAGCCCCGGTGCGTGAAGTCGCCGCCGTTAGCTCTCGTATCCATGCATGTCCATAAACTGGTTTCCTATCCGTTAGTCAAATCCGAATTAAAGTTCGCGCACCCACACGAGCGCATCCATCCCGGACAGATACATCGTCCGTTCGGCGCACCTGTTTGAATTTTCGACATTGGAAATTATCGGCCGTAATATTGGCCGTATAATAAATGGCCGAGGTTCCTTTGTCGCGGAAATTGATTAAAAGCGCCTATGTTGAATAAAAACCAAAATTAAAGTAACATAATAGTAATATGTACATGATTTAAAGTAATATTCAGTCAAACGGATATTTCATAACTTTGCGTTACTTTTCAAATATGCGCTCTACGTGTATTCACCGCAATTAAACCAAATTTCCCGGTTCCTGTTTTAACGTACCGCTGCGCTTTTATTAATATGTCACAATTACTCTGTTCAGTTTTATTACTCTTTGTAAGCGGTTTTTACTCTCTCGTGCATTTGAGATTTATATGGGCACGTATACATTCCGTTCTCATGTAACAATTAAAAGTGATGTATATATATTTTACTTCCCTACGTTGTTATTCCAGATCTTTTAAATGCTTTGTAAACTCAGAACCATAACTGTCGACAGCGAATTTCGTTACTGCCTGCTCAATTCTTACTTTTACCTTCTAAATACGATTTTCTTTTCAGAATTATATATTTTATAATCTTGGAAAAATTAAAACGCAAGTTTAGAGCGAATGATGTAAATCATAGGCTTTGTCTCGCGAAGTTGAAGACATCGGCCTGTCGGAAACGAACGAGTTCTACCTTGGAACAGCTCGATCGTGCGCCGCGCCGACGGCGAACATCCCCGGAATTGCACTCTCGCGTCCCACGCTTCTCCTCAGATGAAGCAGCAATAAAAATATTGTTTACGACAGGAATAAAACCCAACACCTCACCTCCTTCTCCGCCTCCTCCTCCATCGCTCGCGCTCCGCCGAGCGAACCGCCGAATAAAAAGCGCCGGCGGAGGGGAAAAAAAATACACGGGAACGAGGAAACGTCGCTTACCGCGCGC